TCATTTTCATGGTTTCCTCCCTTTTTGTTGAAATGGTCCACATGCTTGTGGATTTCAATGGCTTCTCTGTGTCGTCTGACATTATGGTTGTCAGAGAGGTCCAGAATTTCTGTGTTCTCAAATAATATACTGTGTCCAGGTTCATTTGTTAGGTGCTCTGCTATAACTAACTTCTCTGGTTGAATTAGTCCGCAGTGCCTTTCGTATTCAGAATTAAGACAGCAAATAGTGAACACCACTCAGAAACAGAACTACAGACAGCAAATAATCAAGGGCCAGTTAACACCTCCCAAACAGAGGATGCCTCCAGGCAACAGAGGCCAGGCCACCTCTATGCAGATAGCCTCACTGATTGACTTTGCAGCTTGCTAATTGCAACATCCACACTTGCTTTAACAGAAAAGGGTTTTCTCCCACTCTGGACGTTCCACAGAAGGAGTTTAGCATATTAACTCCACTTGTCTCACTCCCAACAGACCTCAGAAGATGGCAGCCACAGATGCAGGCAAAGCATCAGAAGAGAATGCTGCTGGAACACAGCCATACAGTCAGAAAAACCCACAGCAACCTATTATTATTATTATTATTATTATTATTATTATCTTGTTATATATCACAATATATCATATAATAATATATAACAAAATTAATACTATCAATAGTAATATTGTTGTCAAATGCTTATTGTTATTATTATCTTGTTATATGATATATCGCAATATATCATAATATTATATAACAAAATTAATATTATCAATAGTAATATTGTTGTTGAAGGCTTATTGTTATTATTGTAAGATTGTTATTATTATAACAATATTACAATTGTATTATTATTATTATTATTACAATATTATTGTAATATTATTATTATTATTACTATTATTATTAATACCATTAGCAATATTATTGTAATATTGTTATTATTATAACAATATTACAATTATAATATTATGATTATTACTATATTATTGTAATATTATTATTATTATATTGTTAATATTAATACCATTAGCAATATTAGTAATTTCAATATTATTAAAAATAAGCAGAGGATGCCTCCAGGCAACAGAAGCCAGGCCATCTCTATGCAGATACCCTCACTAATTGACTTTGCCACTTCATGGCTACTCAATGCTTGCTAATTGCAACATTCACACTTGTGTCAAACAGACAAGGGTTCTTTCTCAATTGCCAACAGAACATCTGAAGATGCCATTAGCCACAGATGCAGGCGAAACATCAGGAGAAAATGCTACTGAACATGGCCGTACGGCACAAAAAACGCACAGCAACCTAATGCAGTTTAAGTGCACCGAACTACACTAACCGTATAATGCTTTATTATTATTATTATTATTATTATTATTATTATTATTATTATTATTGTATAGTGTTGATGGGGCCGTGATCAGGATTTGTTTCCAACATGTTAAAGCTGCACCAAGTGCTTAATAGCTTTCCAGGAATATATTAAATTGTGATGGTTTCCAAGATAACACAGCCTTATGGCATGTGTGCGTTCTCAGTGATTAAGCGAAGCTTCACTTCTGTTCAGTCTGATAGACTTCGTAGTAAGCTTTCTCATTTGATAGACTGTCCAATGAGATCTGTCAAAGTTGGTGGGCCAAAAAAACCCCACTGAATGATTGCTTGAATGTTGTCGGAAGATACGCTTTCCGAGTACAAGTTATGCAAGCCTCCCTGAACAGCTAGATGACCACAGATAAGAAAGATAGATGTGCTTCTAAAGCTGCCAGAAGGTGAAAAGGGAAACCAAGAAAGAGGAGGAAAAGCAAGTCGGGCAATTGTTCCTGGAATTAAGAAGCAATTGATAGACATCCTTGGATTACATTCCCATTTCCTCTCTCTGCAAAGTGCAAGTAGTCTTTGAAGCTTAGTTTGGAGAGTTGGGAAGCAAAATATGCACTGAATACAGTTGGCCTTCCATATCGATGGATTTTGCCATATGATATAAGGGTGACCATTGATTTAATTGAGTGCAAATGAATGCAAAGTCAATAACAACAACAACAACAACAACTCTGGCACAAGCCAGTCAAGGTGGTCCCAGTTTGTGATCGGCACACTAGGTACAGTACCTAAAGACCTTGGCCTGCACTTAAACACAATCGGCACTGACAAAATTACCATCTGCCAGCTGCAGAAGGCCACCTTACTGGGATCTGCATGTTTTGGGTGGTGCAGCAGGTTAAACCACAGAGCTGCTGAACTTGTTGACCGAAAGGTCTCCGTTTCAAATCCGGGAAGTGGCATGAGCTTCCACTGTCAACCCCAGCTTCTGTCAGCCTAACAGTTCGAAAACATGCAAATGTGGGTAGATCAATAGGTACCGCCCCAGTGGGAAGGTAGCGGCGCTCCATGCAGTCATGCCGGCCACATGACCTTGGAGGTGTCTACGGACAATGCCAGCTCTTTGGCTTAGCAATGGAGATGAGAACCAACCCCCAGAGTTGGACACGACTGAACTTAATGTCAAGGGAAAATCTTTACTTTACCTATAAATTTAATAATACTATTAATTTAATAATAATAATAATAATAATAATAATAATATTAAATTAGTGTCTAGATCTAGGGAAGTCATGCTACCCTCTATTCCGCTTTGGTTAGACCACACCTGGAATATTGTGTCCAATTCTGGGCACCACAATTAAGAGAGATATTGACAAGCTGGAATGTGTCCAGAGGAGGACGACTAAAATGATCAAGGGTCTGGAGAACAAGCCCTATGAGGAGCGGCTTAAGGAGCTGGGCATGTTTAGCCTGAAGAAGAGAAGGTGAGAGGAGATATGATAGCCATGTATAAATATGTGAGAGGAAGCCACAGGGAGGAGGGAGCAAGCTTGTTTTCTGCTTCCCTGGAGACTAGGACACGAAACAATGGCTTCAAACTACAAGAGAGGAGATTCCACCTGAACATGAGGAAGAACTTCCTGACTGTGAGAGCCGTTCAGCAGTGGAACTCTCTGCCCCGGAGTGTGGTGGAGGCTCCTTCTTTGGAAGCTTTTAAACAGAGGCTGGATGGCTATCTGTCAGGGGTGATTTGAATGCAATATTCCTGCTTCTTGGCAGGGGGTTGGACTGGATGGCCCATGAGGTCTCTTCCAATTCTTTGATTCTATGATTCTCTGGTTAATACTAACAACAACAATGATGACAACAACAGCAACTTTTTGCATTTCATCCATGCTCTGATGTGACTGACCCAAGTGTATCTTGGTTTTCATCTATGAGATATTTGGTGCATAGGATCTCCAGTTGGGATCAGGGAAGAATCCTGGCTGAAATCCTAAACAGCTGGTGCCTATGAAAGAGTTTGTTCTGGGCCGACTTCAGACAATTTCCCAAGCAACTAGGATTATTTTTAAACCGCCAGCATCATCCCTTGTTTTCCTAGGAATGCCATGAGGACATTAACTAACCAAAAAAGGACTTTTCTTGAGTTAAAGCGGAGGCCAATCCAAAATAATAATAATAATAATAATAATAATATTAAGCAGGAAAGGCTTTCATGGATCTGTGTGCCAATTTGGGATAATTCTGGTTTCCCACAAACTCCATCCCCGAGAGAGCAGATTCCTGGCAACGCATCCGAGCAAATTCCCGTTATGCATTCGAGACGAATTGCAAACCCTGTTTGTTTGCAATTAAGTCAATTCGTGTTCACCCAAAATGGCACAGAAAGGGAATCCCAGGTCGCTTGTGGGTTTATTTACAGAGGCTGGAAGGACAGCAGCGAGAGGCTGTTAGATGCAAGGTGGCTCAGGAAGATAAGGACTTCTGCGGAGGGTAGATTGCACCCTTTTAGCCACTTTGGATCTCTTTTGAGAAAGAAAAAGCAGGATACAAATACAATAATTTAGAATTATTATTATTAATAATAATAATAATAACTTGCAGTTTCTGAAGTCGCTCCTAACATGGAAAAATATAATAATAATAATAATAATAATAATAATAATAATAATAATAATAATAATATTTTTCCCGTGTCAGGAGCGACTTCAGAAACTGCAAGTTATTATATAATAATAATAATAATAATAATAATAATAATAATAATAATAATATTTTTTCCGTGTCATGAGCGACTTCAGAAACTGCAAGTTATTATATAATAATAATAATAATAATAATAATAATAATATTTTTCCGTGTCATGAGCAACTTCAGAAACTGCACATTATTATTATATAATAATAATAATAATAATAATAATAATAATAATAATAATATTTTTCCATGTCAGGAGTGACTTCAGAAACTGCAAGTTATATAATAATAATAATAATAATAATAATAATAATAATTTTTCCGTGTCAGGAGTGACTTCAGAAACTGCAAGTTATTATATTATAAAAATATAATAATAATAATAATATTTTTCCATGTCTGGAGTGACTTCAGAAACTGCAAGTTATTATATTATAAAAATATAATAATAATAACAATAATAATAATAATAATAATAATAATAATATTTTTCCGTGTCAGGAGCGACTTCAGAAACTGCAAGTTATTATATTATAAAAATATAATAATGATAATAATAATAATAATAATAATAATATAAATAAAATAATAATATTTTTTCTGTGTCAGGAGCGACTTCAGAAACTGCAAGTTGCTTCTGGTGTGAGAGAATTGGCCATATGCAAGGAGAATTGGCCATATGCAAGGAGCTGGAGCTGACAGAGGGAGCTCATCCGCACTCTCCCCAGATTCAAACCTGCGACCTGTCTGCCTTCAGTCCTGATGACACATTCTGCCACCAGTGGCTCATATTAATATTAATAATGATATATTAATATATTAATATATTTATTAATATATATATTAATATTAATAATAATATATTTTTCCGTGTTAGGAGCGACTTCAGAAACTGCAAGTTATTATTATTATTATTATTATTATTATTAAAAATAATAATAATATATTGATAATATTACTAATAATGCTTTGGCAGGTATTACCTATGATCACGACGGGAAGAGGCTTCGCAGGGCTGTGTTCCAGATGGGCATGCAACATGATCTCTCTCTTCTTCTCCGTCTCTTGCTCCCAATAGAGTGCAAAGACCTCCAAGTCGACCTGCAATGATAAGGCCACACAAATATTGGTTATCGCCAGAACGTTGTCCCGAGTTGCTTTCCCCTATCTCAAAAACTATTTCTGGACATACTAAAAAACAAATACAGTCACTCTTTCGTGGATTCGTCACTCTCGTTTTATATAAGAGAAAGAGGCAAGATGGGAGCAGGAAGGCAATAATAATAATAATAATAATAATAATAATAATAATAATAATTTATTGCATGTAATGGGACTTGAGCATCCATATTTTAGGGTTCTGGATCCAAACCCCTGCAGATACTCACTGTATCCAGAACTGGAGAAAGTAGCACAACATTGGAGAACTTTAGCAAATGTGCATTACAGTTTTGTGTTTTGAAAGCGAGGTTTTGCGTCTCCAAACTACATATTCCAGAGCTTCTTCAGACTTATTCCCAAGGTGGTACAGTATTTTGTAACCTGCCCGATGCCACTTCATGTCTGGTATCAAAAACTGGAATTCTCTAAGTGGCATGCCAGTGCATGTTCTCCATTCAGGAGGTAATTTACAACAACTAAGACTCTTGTGCCACCTTAAAAGACTGACAGGTTGCATTTGGGACATGTTTTGTGTGCCCTGCTACCAACTTTCCTTAGAAGAAAGAGTAGACTGGGGTTCAAGTAGCAAGGAAGCAAGCAAGGAAGAAAGGCAGTAAAGAAAGAAGGAAGCAAGGAAGGCTAGAAGGGAAAAAGGAAGGAGCAAGGAAGGCAAGAAGGGAGCAAGGAAGGCAAGAAGGGAGCAAAGAAGGCAAGAAGGGAGCAAAGAAGACAAGAAGAAAGGCAAGAAAGCAAGAAGGAAGCAAGGAAGGCAAGAAGGGAGCAAAGAAGGCAAGATAGAAGGCAAGAAAGCAAGAAGGGAGTAAAGAATGAAGGCAAGAAGGGAGCAAAGAAGGCAAGAAGGCAAGATAGAAGGCAAGAAGACATGAAAGAAGGCAAGAAGACATGGAAGGAGGCAAGAAGACATGGAAGAAGGCAAGAAGACAAGAAAGAAGCAAAGAAGGAAGCAAAGAAGGCAAGAGGGGAGCAAGGAAGGCAAGAATGAAGCCAAGAAGACAAGAATGAAGCAAAGAAGGCAAGAAGGAAGGCAAGAAAGCAAGAAGGAAGCAACGAAGGAAGACAAGAAAGGAGCAAGGAAGGCAAGAAGGGAGCAGAGGAAGGCAAGAAGGGAGCAGAGGAAGGCAAGAAAGCAAGAAGGAAGTAAAGAAGAAGGAAGTAAAGAAGGAAGAAGGGAGAAAAGAAGGCAAGAAAGCAAGAAGGAAGTAAAGAAGAAGGAAGTAAAGAAGGAAGAAGGGAGCAAGGAAGGCAAGAAGAGAGCAAGGAAGGCAAGAATGAAGCCAAGAAGACAAGAATGAAGCAAAGAAGGCAAGAAGACAAGAAGGAAGGCAAGAAAGCAAGAAGGAAGCAACGAAGGAAGGCAAGAAGGGAGCAGAGGAAGGCAAGAAGGGAGCAGAGGAAGGCAAGAAGGGAGCAGAGGAAGGCAAGAAGGGAGCAGAGGAAGGTAAGAAGGGAGCAGAGGAAGGCAAGAAGGGAGCAGAGGAAGGCAAGAAAGCAAGAAGGAAGTAAAGAAGGAAGAAGGGAGCAAGGAAGGCAAGAAGGGAGCAGAGGAAGGCAAGAAGGGAGCAGAGGAAAGGCAAGAAGGGAGCAGAGGAAGGCAAGAAGGGAGCAGAAGATGGCAAGAAGGGAGCAGAGGATGGCAAGAAGGGAGCAGAGGAAGGCAAGAAGGGAGCAGAGGAAGGCAAGAAAGCAAGAAGGAAGTAAAGAAGGAAGAAGGAAGTAAAGAAGGAAGAAGGGAGCAAGGAAGGCAAGAAGAGAGCAAGAAAGGCAAGTATGAAGCAAAGAAGGCAAGAAGACACGAAAGAAGGCAAGAAGACAAGAAAGAAGGCAAGAAAGCAAGAAAGAAGCAAAGAAGGAAGCAAAGAAGGAAGCAAAGAAAGGCAAGAGGGGAGCAAGGAAGGCAAGAATGAAGCAAAGAAGGCAAGAATGAAGCAAAGAAGGCAAGAAGGAAGCAAAGAAGGAAGGCAAGAAGGGAGCAAGGAAGGCAAGAAGACAAGAAGGAAGGCAAGAAAGCAAGAAGGAAGCAAAGAAGGAAGCAAGAAAGCAAATGATAGAGTGATAGATTTCCCTAAGTCCTATATGAAGGCTGAAAAAAACGATTCGAGGTTTTGCACATTTCGAATTCAGACCTTCATCTTGCATCAATCATGCTTGGAGAAGGTCAAGCTTTTTATAATTGGATGGCCTGTCTTGATCTGTATCTCCTGGACCAAGATAACTCCAGGTCTGTTGGATCAGACCAAAGGTCTACGGGCAAATTATTCTGTTCTCATAGAGACCAGCCAGATCCTTCTGACAAGCCCATGGGGAAGAAGAACATGGACACAAAGGCACCTCTCGCTTGGGTTCCCCAGCAACGGACCTCCAGAGGCACATTGCCTGCGATGCCGGAGGCAATAAGCAGCCATCGCTACTGGTAACCAGTGAGACGGATTGGAAATAGGACTACAATTGTGCCGTGATTCCAGTTACAGCCTTTCAGGCAGGGGGGCATCTACACTGTAGAATCTGTACACTTTAATGGGTATGTCTCAACACTATCAAATCCTGGGAATTGTAGTTTGGCAAAGGATCGGCACTTTATGGCACAGAAGGCTAAAGTCTACAAAACAACAACTCCTAGTCTGCAGCTGTATCAACACTGTATAATTAATGCTAGCTTTAATTGCTATGGCTCAATGCTATAAAATCATGGGAGTTGCAGTTTTGCAAGGTCTGCATCAACACTGTATAATTAATGCAACTTAACTTGCTACGGCTCAACAGCATGAAATCATGGGAGTTGGAGTTTTGCAAGGTTTGCATCAACACTATATAATCAATGCTAGCTTTAATTGCTACGGCTCAATACTATAAAATCATGGGAGTTGTGGTTTTACAAGGTCTGCATTAACACTGTATAATTAATGAAGCTTTATTTGCCACAGATCAAATCTATGAAATCATGGGAGTTGTAGTTTTGCAAGGTCTGCTTCAACATTGTATAATTAATGCAATTTTAATTGCTATGGCTCAATAGTATGAGCTCATGGGAGTTGTAGTTTTGCAAGGTGTGAATCAACACTATATAATTAATTCTAGCTTTAATTGCTATGGCTCAATACTATGAAATCATGGGAGTTGTAGTTTTGCAAGGTTTGCATCAACACTGTATAATTAATTCTAGTGTTAATTGCTATGGCTCAATAGTATGAACTCATGGGAGTTGTAGTTTTGCAAGGTCTGCATCAACACTGCATAATCAATGCAACTTTAATTGCTATGGCTCAATAGTATGAACTCATGGGAGTTGTAGTTTTGCAAGGTCTGCATCAATACTGTATAATTAATGCAACTTTAATTGCTATGGCTCAATAGTATGAAATCATGGGAATTGTAGTTTTGCAAGGTTTGCATTAATTGCTATGGCTCAATAGTATGAACTCATGGGAGTTGTAGTTTTGCAAGATCTGCATCAACACTGTATAATTAATGCAACTTTAATTGCTATGGCTCAATAGTATGAAATCATGGGAGTTGTAGTTTTGCAAGGTCTGCATCAGCACTGCATAATTAATGCAACTTTAATTGCTATGGCTCAATAGTATGAAAGTTATAGTTTTGGAGCTCTGCATCAACACAGTATAACCAATGCTAGTTTTAATTGCTATGGCTCAATAGTATGAAATCATGGGAGTTGTAGTTTTGCAAGGTCCGCTTCAACACTGTATAATTAATGCTAGTTTTAATTGCTACAGCTCAATACAATGAAATCATGGGAGTTGTAGTTTTACAAGGTCTTTTGCATGCTCTTCTTGGGCCTCACCAAACTACAACTCCCATTATCCAGTCAACGTGCTGTCAAAGAGAGCCAACCTAGGTGTCCTATATGATGGCAATGATACAGATGCAAAAAAGCATGCAAAAGATGGCACGATTGCCACTGCGAAGCAGAAGCCGGCATTGCTTGTTCAGAATGCTGAACGTGTCTTGGCGCAAGACTCGAATTTTATGGCTCGGATTGCCAAGTTGGCCTTTGATCCTTTGGAGCTGTTCCTTGGTATCTTTCCACTCCTCTCTTTTCTCCACCGGCACATTCCCTCCTCCTTCTCCGCCTGTGGCTCCCACTGCCATAGAGGTAACATTACATAAGTCATGCTCAGCGGAGGAAGGCCTCTGGGCGCAAACTCCGCCAGGCTCACGCATGCGTCCCCATTGACGTTCCAGACTTTTCCAAGTCAATGGACAGCTCAAATCTAGGACTTCTCATAGAGAGTTGGAAGAGAGTCCCCATATTGACAATCCCACCAGAAAAGTTTAGGGAAAGTAGGGGGAGTTGTAGTTCACCTACATCCAGAGAGCACTGTGAACCCAAACACTGATGGATCTGGACCAAACTTGGTACACATACCTGACATGACAAAATGTGATTATTGGAGAGGTTTGGGGGGAACTGACCTTCCTTTCTGAGAGTTGTAGTTCACCCACAACCAGAGAAATGGTGATCTCCTAGATGATGGACCGGGACCAAACTTGGCACACAGAATTCCCATGACTAACTCAACCTACTGGAGGGGTTTGAGGGGGCAGACTCACCACAGAGGGAGTTGTAGTTCACCTACATCCAGAGAGCACTGTGAACGCAAACACTGATGGATCTGGACCAAACTTGGGACACATACCTGATATGCCGAAATTTGATTATTGGAGGGGGGCGGGGGCGGGGGGGGGCGGGACTGGCCTTCCTTTCTGGGAGTTGTAGTTCACTCACAACAAGAGAAATGATGATCTCCACAGATGATGGACCTGGACCAAACTTGGCACACTGAATTCCCCTGACTAACTCAACCTACTGGAGGGATTTGAGGGGACTGACTCAACATAATGGGAGTTGTAGTTCACCCTACAGCCAGAGAGCATGACTACCTCAACCTACTGGAGGGATTTGAAGAGACTGGCTCAACATATTGGGAGTTGTAGTTCACCTACATCCAGAGAGCACTGTAAACCCAAACACTGATGGATCTGGACCAAACTTGGCACACATACCTAACATGCCAAAAATTTGATTATTGGAGGAGTTTGGGGGGAACTGACCTTCCTTTCTAGGAGTTGTAGTTCACCCACAGCTAGAGAAGTGGTGATCTCCACCGATGATGGACCTGGACCAAACTTGGCACACAGAATTCCCATGACTAACTCAATCTATTGGAGAGATTTAAGGGGACAGACTCACCATAGTGGGAGTTGTAGTTCACTTACATCAGAGAGCACTGTGAACCCAAACACCGATGGAACCAGACCAAACTTGGCACACATACCTGACATGCCGAAATTTGATTATTGGGGGGGGGGAGGGGGGTTGGGGGGGGACTGACCTTCCTTTCTGGGAGTTGTAGTTCACCCACAACCAGAGAAATAGTGATCTCTTAGATGATGGACCTGGACCAAACTTGGCACACAGAATTCCCATGACTAACTCAACCTACTGGAGGGCTTTGAGGGGACGTGACTCACCACAGTGGGAGTTGTAGTTTACCCTACAGACAGTGCACACGGAACCCCACCGATGATGCATATAATAATAATAAAGTAATAATAATAATGCATATAATAATAATAATAATAATAATAATAAATAATGCATATAAATAATAATAATAATGCATATAATAATAATAATAATAAAGTAATAATAATACATATAATAATAATAATAATAATAATAATAATAATAATAATGTAATAATAATAACTACTACAGTTACCAAAAAGGACTGGTACCTCACCACATCACAACTCCCAGGATTCCATAGCATGGAGTTAAAGTGCTGTCAAACTGCATTAATTGTAAAGTGTAGACACACCTGTAACTGCCAAGCAATCCAGTAACCAAACTGGGGCAACTCCAGAGACTATAATTCACCCAAAAAGGAACTTTTCAAAACTTTCATTCAACAGGTGCATCCTAAGCAATGTAAGCAGCAAGGGGACACTTTTCCAATTGTATGGTTGCTCTCTGGGGTTGGACTAGATATCCTCTTGGGGTCTCTTCCAACCTTATGTTTCTATGATTCTTTGCTAATCGTGCCGGCTTTTTAAAACACAGCAGCTTCCAACACGCAGAGATTTTCCATTTATGTAACAAGAGCCTTCTCCTGATCCCTTGCCAAGGAAAAGGACTTCCCTGGCACCGGTTACAGAAAGTCCTTGGGATCTGATGACACTAAATATATATATGAAAAGGACTTTTAAAAGCAGCAAAAAGTTCATCTGAGCAATAAGAGCTTTGCATCATCAATGCAGCCTTACCTTTAGGGTCAGGAAAGTAGATTTCCAGCAGAAATTTCCTGGGATTGCAAGTGCCTTTTGCCTGAAAGAGATCCAGACAAGTTTCTGCTTCCCTGAAAGGCAGGCTCTGAAATATATGACAGTGGCAGAGCAGAGGGGGCGGGGCTTAAATGGGGGCGTGGCTTGGGGTTGGAGGGGCGGGGCTTGGAAAAGCTCTCATCAGCATGAATCAGCAGCAGCAGCATTTTTGTGAATGGAGCCTCAGAGGGAGTGAAAAAAAAATTATCTCTCTTTTTGGCAAGGCTTGGTCTGTATAGAGGAGGAGGAGGCAAACAAGGCAGGCTTTCAATGCATCCCACCCACAAGGGCCATCAGGTGCCTTATGGGTCCTAAGATAATAATAATAATAATTAATAATAATAATAATAATAATTAATAGAGTTCAAGTTAATCCAGAGGAAAAAAGGCATAATAATAATAATAGAAATAAATGTAAGGAAATAATGAAATGCAATGCAAGCAAAGTATACAGGAAAGCTAATAATAAATATAATAAATGCAAGCAAAGAATGCAGGAAAATTCATAATCATAATAATAATAATAATAATAATAATAATAATAAATGCAATCAGAGAATGCAAAAATTAAATACAATGCAAACAATGCAGGAAAATTATTATTAATAATAACAAAATAATAATAATCTAAATGTAAGGAAATAATGAAATGCAATGCAAGCAAAGACTACAGGAAAGGTAATAATAAATATAATAAATGCAAGCAAAGAATGCAGGAAAATTCATAATAATAATAATAATAATAATAAATGCAATCAGAGAATGCAAAAATTAAATACAATGCAAACAATGTAGGAAAATTATTAATAATAACAAAGTAATAACAATATAAATGTAAGGAAATAATTAAATGCAATGCAAGCAAAGAATACAGGAAAGCTAATTATAAATATAATAAATGCAAGCAAAGAATGCAGGAAAATTCATAATAATAATAATAATAATAATAGAAATAAATGTAAGGAAATAATTCAATGCAATGCAAGCAAAGTATACAGGAAAGGTAATAATAAATATAATAAATGCAAGCAAAGAATGCAGGAAAATTCATAATAATAATAAATGTAATCAAAGAATGCAAACATTAAATACAATGCAAACAATGCAGGAAAATTATTATTAATAATAACAAAATAATAATAATATAAATGTAAGGAAATAATTAAATGCAATGCAAGCAAAATATACAGGAAAGCTAATAATAAATATAATAAATGCAATCAAAGAATGCAAAAATTAAATACAATGCAAACAATGCAGGAAAATTGTTATTACTATTAATATAAATGTAAGGAAATAATGAAATGCAATGCAAGCAAAGAATATGGGAAAGGTAATAATAAATATAATAAATGCAAGCAAAGAATGTAAGAAAATTATTATTATTAATAATATAATCAAAATAAATGTAAGAAAATAATTAAATGCAATGCAAGCAAAGAATACACAAAAGCTAATAATAAATATAATAAATGCAAGCAAAGAATGCAGGAAAATTCATAATAATAATACATGTAATCAAAGAATGCAAAAATTAAATACAATGCAAACAATGCAGGAAAATTATTATTAATAACAACACAATAATAATAGAAATAAATGTAAGGAAATAATTAAATGCAATGCAAGCAAAGAATAAAGAAAAGCTAATAATAATAATAATAATAATAATAATAATAATAATAATTGCAAGCAAAGAATACAGGAATAATAATACTAATAATACTAGTAGTAATAATAACAGAAATAAATGCAAGGAAATAATGCTGGAAATTAAATACAATGCAAACAAAGCAAATAATAGGATGCTTGCCATAGATGCAGGCGAAACGTCAGGAGAAAAATTGCCTCCAGAACATGGCCATATAGCCCGGAAAAATCTACAACAACCCAGTGATCCCGGCCATGAAAGCCTTTGACAATACATTAAAGCAAATAATAATAATAATAATAAGAAGAAGAAATAAATGCAAACAAAGCAAATAAGAAGAAGAAGAAGAAGAAATAAATGCAAGAAAAGAATGCAGAAAATGAAATACAATGCAAGCAAAGAATGCCGGAAAGCAAATAATAATAATAATAATAATAATAATAATAATAGATTTTTTATCGTAACAGAAGCAAACCAAGTGTACAGTTGTAATGTATTCAAAAAACACAAAGTTTAAAAACACGGCATTATATTAAATTAAATATAATTAATAGAAATAAATGTAAGAAAATATTGCAGGAAATTAAATATAATGCAAGCAAAGAATGCAGGAAAGCAAGTAATAGTTATAATAATAATAATAATAATAATAATAATAATAGAAATAAATGCAAGTAAAGATTGCAGGAAAGCAAATAATAGTAATAATAATAATAATAATAGAAATAAATGTAAGGAAAGAATACAGGAAATTAAATACAATGCAAGTAAAGATTTCAGGAAAGCAAATAATAAATAAATAAATAAATAAAGTGGTGCAGCAAACAACAAATCCCAGGAATCCATAAGATAGAGTAATCACGGTTAAAGGGGTTAACTGCTATGATTTCCCATTATTATTATTAATATTGTTCTATTATAAACAAATAAATACATAATATATTTATGGGTGCATCTACACTGTAGAATTAATGCAGTTTGGCACCACTTTGACTGCCATGGCAGAATGTTATGGGATCCTATGAATTGTAGTTTGGTGAAGTACTGGCACTCTTTGACAGAGCAGTGCTAAAGACCTTGGGAAACCAGCTCCCAGGACCCCATAACATTGAACCCTGGCAAGGAAAGTATTGTCGAATTGCATCACTTTCAAGTTCAATTGGGCCAGGGTTCAAGAAAAATAAAAGCCACAAAAGCAGTACAAACACAAATGGACACAAAACGAGTTCGAAGAATTCAAAGACCTCAAACAACACCCTCGTTGCACCTTCCTGATCTGCAGCAGATCACAGGAGCTGTCTTCATAGACCTGTCAGCAGCCTATGATACTGTGAACCACCGCCTCCTCCTGAGAAAAATGTATAATATCACAAAGGACGACCACCTCACCCGCCTCATAGGAAACCTGCTACAAAACAGGAGCTTTTTTGTTGAGTTCCAGGGCCAGAGAAGCAGATGGCGGAAACAGAAGAACGGCCTGCCTCAAGGGAGCGTGCTTGCTCCATCCTTGTTCAACATCTACACAAATGACCAGCCACTGCCAGAAGGGACAGAGTTTCATCTATGCTGATGATCGTGCCATCACCGCTCAAGCAGGGAGCTTTGAGATGGTAGAACAGAAGCACTCCAAAGCTCTAGGTGCCTACTACAGGGAAAACCAGCTGATTCGCAACCCATCTAAAACACAGACGTGTGCTTTTCATCTCAAGAACAGACAAGCATCCCGAGCTCTGAGGATGACCTGGGAAGGAATCCCACTGGAGCATTGCAGCGCACCCAAATACCTGGGAGTCACCCTGGACCATGCTCTGACCTACAAGAAGCACTGCCTGAACATCAAGCAAAAAGTGGGTGCTAGAAACAATATCATACAAAAGCTGACTGGTACAACCTGGGGATCACAACCAGACACAGTGAAGACATCTGCCCTTGTGCTATGCTACTCTGCTGCTGAGTATGCATGCCCAGTGTGGGACACATCTCACCACACTAAAACAGTGGATGTGGCTCTTAATGAGACATGCCACATTATCACGGGGTGTCTGCGTCCTACACCTCTGGAGAAATTACACCTTTTAACCGGTATTGCACCACCTGACATCTGCCGGGAAGTAGCAGCCAATAGTGAAAGGACCAAGGCAGAGACATCTCCAGCTCATCTCCTGTTTGGGTGTCAGCCAGCACGTCAACGACTTAAATGAAGAAATAGTTTTCTAAGATCTGCAGAGACACTCGCTGGAAAACCTCAGCAAGCGAGAGTCCAAAAGTGGCAGGCTCAAACCCAGAACCTCAACCAATGGCTGATACCGGGTGACTTGAAAGGCGCTGAACAGACTGTGCTCTGGCACCACGAGATGCAGAGCCAACCTTAAGAAATGGGGCCACAAAGTGGAATCCACGACATGCGAGTGTGGAGAAGAGCAAACCACTGACCACCTGCTGCAATGCAACCTGAGCCCTGCCACATGCACAATGGAGGACCTTCTTATAGTAACACCAGAGGCAATCCAGGTACTGGTCAAAGGACATTTAATCAACTACCAAGCTCACAAATTTTGCATTTTGTCTGTTTATTTGTTTTGTTCTGTTAGAAACGTAATGCAATTGACTGGTTGCCCTGACATGACAAATAAAATAAAACCTTCCTGATGAACTGTCACCCATTTAATCCAATGTGAGGGACCTGGAGTTCACAAAAGGGGGTGCCAAAGAAAACTTGCTAATCTGAAAGGCCCCACCAGATTCTCTGTGATTTCTACCCCAATAGGGCTACACCTCTTGGAGATATTAAGAGTTGAGCCCTTAAACCTCAAGAGAGACTAATCTGACAGTTTGGCTCTCACATTTCAGCTTTTGAAAGTTTTCGGTGACAATATTATTTATCTCTTAAATAGAAAGACCAAGGATAGGTTTTCTTAAGCCCTTAGTAATAACAACCACACCTCAATGGACTTTTTGGCTGTGTGCCAGAGGCGGCCCTAGGTAATTTTCAAAGGTAAGCAAACAGTATTTTGGCGCCCCCCCCTCCCCAACCAATCATTGATATATATATTTTCCATTCGTCGTGGGAGCCCTGTGTGCCATATTTGGTCCAATTCCATCATTGGTGGAGTTCAGAATGCTCTTTGATTGTAGGTGAACTATACATCCCAGTAACTACACTTGCCGCACTTGCTCCCTTGCCTGGCCCGCTTTGGGTCCGGAGGCGTGTGCACCAAAAGTCACCTCTTCTCCTGACTTTCTCCTCAGCCATTGGGACCAAGAGAGAGAGAGAGAGAGAGAGAGGTGGAGATGCCCACCTTTCCTGAAGGTAGGCGCAAAAACAAAGGAGGGAGAGGAGGTGGGAGATACCTCCAGCCAGAGGGGCTCTCTCTCTCTCTCTCTC